GTTGGTAGTTTGATTAAATATTGCCTGACCAGTACGACAACCCCAGTTACTGGCAACTATTAACGATGAAAAGGTTGTCAATCATCTCCAATAACTTCGGCTAAAAGGTAATCACACCAACCGACAGCTGACACTTCGGGGCGGGTGGCAACGACAAATACAATAAAAAAATTGCCCCCCCCCCAAGCAGGTCATTTAACGCAATGCGAGCAGTAAATACTTCGTCCGTCCCGAGATGCTCACAGTGTATTCGAAAGGACCGGAAAACATTGCAGCGACAAATTTAGCAAGTTCTTTTTGGGAATGAGGTCCTTTCTCTCTGAGTCACCACAGTCCACCGGGTGCCCCCTATTCCTTGGCACCACGGCTAACCGGAAGACTGATCGACCGTGTACGTTGAACCAGCAGACGCAGCTAGCGTTCATCCCGCGACTTCGTCGTAGTCGTATTAATCGTGTCCGGAGATAAATCCTCCTGAGTGACGACAAGGAGTAGCAGAGAGTACTGGTAGCCGGACCCCGTTCATAGGGTTCTGAAACTACTGCTTGCAAGTGTTGTTTACGAGCCTGTATTCGCGGACGAAAATTTGATCACCTGAGAAGCGTTCCAGCTATCTCACTTTTTGAGGCCATGCGGTTCTACTAAAGTTAGTTTAACCTCCGACAAAATGCGGACGGAAACACTGACGATCCGTTCGTTAGTCAGCGAGTTTAGTATATTTGGAGGTAAAGGGCAATGATTCCAGGACAACTCTGCCCTCTAGCGAATTAGTTAATTCAATAATTGCAATAGCTCCGAAGAGCAACAAGTAAAAATTACGGGTGTAGGAATAACTCCTTCGCATACATTCCGAACGCTGCCAAAAACGCACACAAACCCTACCAACTTTTTTGCCTACCCATGTTGTGGTTTTACAGCATATTTTGACGGTGACGATAAGATTTACGCTGCCAATAGTTAGAGCTCTTGAAACAAGCCTACAACAGTTTGCGTGACAAGAAAACAAAAATCACGTCAACAACAGACTTTATCCAATTTAAATTTCTAAAATTGTTCGTCATGCTTGAAATCGGCACAGGAAAGCATCAGCCTGGTGGCCAACCCATCTGACGGCCACCCATGACGTGCAGATGCAAGTGATATACAGATTGGCAACCTTCTCTGCCATTGTTAATGACCAGTCGGTAGCCATCCTTCAGTCCCTTTTCGTCCGCGACCTTCTTTGCAACGTAGAGCAAATGGCCAAGAAGCTAGGGGGGTATAGAGGGTAAGGCGTTAACTACCGGTTCGTCCTTGTCTTCAGCAGAACTAAGCATTTTTATGGGCGTCTTGGGTATTACCAAGAAGTGCACTGGAGCTTGGGGTGAGACATCATCAAATGCCAGACACTGGTCATCCTCATAAACTATTTTTGCTGGGACTTCCTTGCGAGCAATCTTTCCAAAAATCGTATCACCATCAGCAGCTGTGGCTGTTTGAGCTTTATTAACTTCTGATGACATTCGCAATACGAAAGAAGGCTTCCCGATCTAAAGATTACTCTATAAGCGAAAGGCGCACCGGCAAGCGAGCAATCGGACTCAATAACCTAGTCAAAAGTCCCATTTGCAGGGCAGCTCAATAAAACACACTCCTGAATTTGTATGCGCATGGCGGTTCGAATGGAATCTCCGATGTTGCGTTCCCTGAATATTTCACCGAATAAGTTCCGAGTGACTTCTGATAGCGTTGACCTTATTCTAAGGAAAATGACTGTCCCTAAGGGAATAAAAAGTGCACTGAAAACCGCTTCTCCATCTACTCTCTCTGATGCTTGATTAACAACCATGATGTCGATAGCGGCTTTGATTCTATTGACAGTCGTAGTGGTAGTGCTGGCAACGGTAACAGTCGTAGTAGCAGTTACGGTGGTAATATTAGTAGTAGTTGTTGCGGGAGCAGCGGCAGTGGCAGCAGTAGAAGAAATAGTGTTGGCAGTAGTAGCAGCATTGGTGGTTTTAGTGTTAGGCGAAGTTAATCAAGTTGTAGTAGTTGTGGCAGTAGAAATGTTTAACAGCAGTTGTTGTAGGCAGAATGTTATTGTCGACAAGGACAAGGGGGACTGGAATAGCCATTTCTGGCTTATTAGCCGTCGTCAGCCAGTCATACCCAACCCCGAGGCATGGAACACCTGGGTCTCGAACTCGCGATCTGTTAGAAGTCCAACACCCCTAACCGCTGAGCTGTTGGACTTTTAACTAACAGGTCGCGAGCTCGAACCTCAAGTATTCCACACTTTGAGGTTGGGCATGACGGACTGACGACGGCTTATAAGCCAGGAATATCCATTCCAGTCCCCCTTGTCTTTGTCGGCAGTAAAATTCTGCCTATGTCATGCGCTGCTGTGCGGCTGCTGGTTAGGATCGAGAGAAAGCCCGTTAGGTACAACGGAACGAGTGAGTTCTGTAAGAACAGTTCATGAGCGGCCCTCTACCGTAGTAGTTGTTGTATTTGTAAAGTTTTTGACTCAGAACCACATCCGTCATTAGTGGAAACTGTGTTTGTAATAGAAGTTATTATTGTCTACGCAGCAGTACTCGGTTTAGTAACCTCGCTCATAGTAGAAGCATTGACAGCAGCCGTNTCATCAAAATCTAGGGCACACTCTCGGCTTCTGACAATCCTGTAGGTTTGAATGAGATCGCCGCGCAGTTGCCTGTAATTTAGAGGAAACAGATTTAGTTCAGTCAGCCTGGTTTCGTAAGGCAAATGATGAAGATTCTTGACCATCTTCGTAGCCATCGCCTGTACTCTTTCCAGTCTTTGATAATCTTTCTTTAACCACGGTCGCCAGGCCTGGACTGCATACTCTAAGTGAGACCGGACGAATGCCCCATAGGTTTTTCCGAACAGCTCCTTGTCGATCTGCACAAATCCTCGCCTCAGCGCAAATAACACCCTTATCGCACTTTTGGCTGCCCTTTGACACTGTGAAGATGGTTTCAGCGAGGAGGTCATTAGGACTCCCAGGTCTTTCTGTTCCACAACATTTGAAAGGGACTGACCACCAAGGACATATTGAAAGGAATCGTCCTCCTTACTGGTCTGTCTGGTGCGGAGTCTCAGGACCACACATTTGTCCACATTAAAATTGAGGAGCCAGCGAGCTGACCAACTGTTTAGGCGGTTGAGACTGTCTTGAAGCGCGTACCTGTCTGCATCAGATCTGATGGATCTCCACAGCTTAACATCGTCAGCAAACATGATGGCGCTGCATCCCAGGTCGTCGACGCAGTCGTTAATGTAAACCAGGAATAGCAACGGCCCTAAGACGGAGCCCTGGGGTACACCACTTCGAACGGGAGTCGGAGTTGACCTTGAGGCCTCAACGCACACGGTTTGCGATCTCCCGTTAAGAAAATCTGTTATCCATGTCAGCAGCCTTCCTCTTATCCCAATTTCAGAAAGTTTGTAGATAAGGCGTTTGTGTGGGACGCTGTCGAACGCCTTCTTAAAGTCTGTGTATATGACATCAACCCTCCCATCCTCATCCAGTGCGCGAGTCCACTGCTCCGTCGAGAGCAATAAACTGGAAAGACACGAGCGGTTCTGTCTAAAGCCGTGCTGCAGGTCTGAGATTAAATGGCCCTGCTCCAGGAACTCCATAGTTGCTTTCTTAACTATGGCCTCCATTATTTTACAGCAGATGCAGGTTAGACTAACAGGCCGGTAATTGTTAGCATTAGTGCGATCCCCGCCCTTGTATATCGGAAAGATATTTGCTGTCTTCCATTCAAATGGCAACCTCCCTAATTCGAATGACGAGCGGAAGATGTTCGCCAGTGGTTTGGAAAGTTCATTCGCCAGTTCCTTCAAGAATTTGGCCGGTAAATTGTCCGGACCCGAGGACTTTGCTTCTTTGAGATTTTTCGGCTCCCATTCCACGGCAGCTGCCGGGAAGAGTATGGAGTCAAGCACGGGACCAACAGTCTCAAGAGCATTGCAGGCACTGCGACAGCGAAACTCTGTCTCTCTAGTAAAAACGGAGGCAAAATACTGTCATAAGTGTTCGGCTTTCTCGTTGTTCTCAATGATCTCTACACCATTATCATCCTTCAGCACCGCGACCGGGTCCTTATTTTTCAGTCTACTGTTCAGATAGTGAAATAAAATCTTAGGCTTCTGTTCAGCCTGTCGTATAATTTTGAATTCATACTCCTTCCGTGCCTGACGGATACATTTTTTGACGGCGTTTCGTTGACGACGAAATTCTTCGAAATGCGCTGGTGACGCAGTTTCCCTGAATATTTTCCATCTTTTGCTTTTCTTCCGTAGCTGCTTATTTAGGT